ACGGACCCGGGTGGCCGCGCCTCGGAGGCGGCTCCGTGTGCGCCGGGAGCCGGCTGCCACTGACCCGGTGCGCTGCGACGGAGACCCCCTGCGCTGCTGCTGTGGAGTGGGACCCCTGCCTGCTCCGTCCCGTGCTCCGGAGATCCCCTCCTTCATCAGCCAATACAGCGGAGACCCCCCACCTTCACCATCCCATGCCCCGCAGAGCACTGCCTTCCTTATCCCATACAGCGGAGACCCCTGCCCTCGTTACCCCATACACCAGGCAGCCCTTCCTTCGCCATCCCATGCACTAGAGACCCCTGCCTTCATCACCCTGTACACTGGAGACCCCCCCCTTCCCCACCCTGTACAGCAGAGACACTGGCCTCGACCATCCCATACACCGGACTCCCCTGCCTTCACCACCTCATGCATCGGAGACCCCTGCCTTCATCGCCCCGGGGTCCACCGGAGACCTCCCCTTCACCACTTCATTCGGTGGAGACCCCCACCTCCATTGCCCCATATGCTCGAGATCCCCACCTTCCCCAACCCATACATCCGAGACCCCTGCGTTCCCCACCCCAGACAAAGAAGACCCCCCACCTTCGTCACCCTTACACCCCCTTTCACCACTCCCCACACCAGAGACCCCCACCCCCACAGACGCACCCCACAGACCCCACTTCACGCCGTGCAAGGGGGAGTGACAGCCTTTATTGCCAGGCGCCCTCAGGCTGCGTACCCTGCATCCTCGTCACTGCTGTCCTGGGTGAGGCTGGGGTCCCCAGGGGTGCAGGCGAGGCACACGCTGCCCACCTCCCTCCAGCACAGCCTGCAGTACTGGGCACCACAGGCAGGCACGGGGCAGACCTGGTCCTGGGGGGTCACAGGCACCCCACACACTGTACAGCTCTGGCGCATCCAGCGGCGCAGTCGTGGCCAGCGCCAGCAGCACCACTCCAGCAGCGATGTCCCCTGCAGTGGGGCCAGGACCATGTGGGGCTCGGGCCAAGCGGCCGCCCCACAGGGGAACAGACCTGGGATCAGGGGACAGTGAAGCGCCCCTGCCCTGGCACCCTGGTGCGGTCCCAGCTCCACGTCCCCATCCCTGCTCACCAGTCCTGGGTGCTGCCGTGCCCGCTGGGCGATGCGCTTCCGCTGCCGGTGGACGAAGCTCTGCCGCTGCTGCAGCAGCTTGTTGTAGAAGTAGAGCACGCGGCTCTTCTCCCGCTGCCCCAGCAAAGACCATGAAGGGGCAGCCAGGGGCACCAGCCCACCCCAAAAACTGCCCCCCCGGGCCGAGTCGGGCTGTGCCAGGCCCTCGGCTGGTGCTGGGGCTGCCGCTCACCTTGGGGAAGTAGAAGGCAGCGATGGCGCGGCGCAGGCGGTACGTGTAGACCTGGGCCAGGCAGAGCAGCACCAGCACAGCCAGGGGCAGGCAGCTGCCCACGTACTGCTGCCTCGTCATGCCCTGGGGCTGCGGCAGGCAGGCTGGGGACAAAGTGGCAGCACTAAGCCCCCCTGAGGAAAGCCCCCCCAGTCCCTCTCGCAGGCAGGGGTGGCCGGGCCATGGAGCTGGGGGGGCCCATCCCCTGAGGGGGCTCACCGAGGTTGGACGTCTCCAGCTGGGTGTCGGAGGAGGTATTGAGGGCCCCGATGGTGCTCCGCAGGAGCCGAGCCATCAGGGATGTGCCCGTCACATGCACGGCCAAGTGGTGGCTGCCTGTGGGACAGGAGCATGTTGGGGGCGATGGTTGTGGGGCTGGGTAGGAGGGTGGAAGGGGGGATGACCCTTGCATTGCTGTGGGGTGCAGTGGGGCTGTGGGGCCGTGGGCTCACTGTGGAAGGAGTACTGCACGAAGGAGTGCTGCTGGATGATGCTGAGCATGGTGAAGAGTGTGTGGTCCAGACCGCAGGCGAGGAGGAGGAGGAGCACGGGCGGGATGCACTCCAGCAGCTCCAGCACCTGCGGGGAGCAGGGTCTGCCACAGCCTGGCCCCCAGCCCTGGCCCCTCAGCCCCCCAGCCCGCCCCACCAGCCCCTCACCATGCTCTGCAGCTCAGGTGGCTGCACGGCCAAGCGGCATGGGAAGATGACGGCTGAGACCTCTGCCCGGCGCAGGGGCAGCAGCGTCCGCTTGTGCTGGAGGAGGGGGAGCGAGGTGGCTCAGTGCAGCTCCCTGGGACCCCCCACTGGGGGTGGGGGGCTGCCTGCCACCCCTTCTCCCCCCTCACCTGCTTTCTGCGGCGGGCATCAATTTGGCGGAAGTAGGTGGTGACGTAGAGGTTGTCGAAGCAGATATCCCGGCAGTATTGCTTGGTGTAGGAGAAAGCCCTGGCAAGAGGGGGGGTCCAGGCAGGGGAGAGGGACCAGCTGCAGCCCCCCAGGCCCCTCCCTTGTCTTTATGCCCCTCCAGACCTGCTGCCAAAGGAGGCCCCCCACCCCTCCATGCCCTGCAGTTGTCACAGGGGTGTGCCCCCCCCGCCCCCCCCATCCCAGGGCTCACGAGATGAAGACGAGGAGGAAGGTGCAGGAGAGCAGCAGGCGGAAGAAGGAGATGGCCTGGCCCAGGTGGGCACCATGCTGCTGCAGGTGCAAGGTCACCTCCTCCATCAGCTGCTCCGCTGACACGTTGGCACCCAGCAGCATCTCATGGTGTTCCTCCTGCAGCAGAGGGACCGTGGGGCTAGGCGGGATCCGGCCCCTGCCCTGGCCCTGGGCAGAGGGGACAGACACCCACCTGGAAGACGACGCTGGCACTGAATTCCTGGCTGAGGTTGCTGACGGAGTTGTTCACCAGGTCGTACATCTGCCCAAAGTTGCCCTCCACCGGGATCTTGTCCCAGCACCAGCTGTGCATGACTGTGAGGACAGAGTGGGGATGGTGCTGGCAGAGCCGGGGCCCCTGGCCATCGCCCTGGCACAGGCTGCAGCTGCCATCCCAGGGGGCTGCAGGGGACAGAGCCAGAGCCACCTCACCGAGGGAGGACAGGGCAAGCGTCCCACACATCACCCACTCTTGACGATGTGGCAGAGGAGCTTGAATTTCATGGGTAGGCAGAGGAGGTGGCTGATGAGGGGCACAACCACTCGTGCCATGCAAGCATCATGCTTGGTGCTGAACCAGTCCCGGCAGCGCTGCATGCCCAACTCGATCACATCTGGGGAGGCAGGAGCCCTCAGCTGCCCACGCACCCCCAGACCCGCTGGCCCAGAACACCATCCAGGGTGCCCTGTGAGGCCAGCAACGGGGGGCTGCGGTAGCCCCATCCCCTGGCCAGCCACTGCCTGCACCGCATGCTGCCAGCCTCCTGCCCACCCCACTCACAGGTGCAGCGTAGTTTGGTCTTCATCTCGTACAGCTGCTGGGTGCTGGGGGCCAGCTGGGGGTCTGAGTGCTGGCGCTGCCGCAGGTCATACCCCTCCTCGCTGGCCACCTCCTCGTTCAGCCCCACAAAGGCGCGTGAGATGTTCTGCACCTCGGCGTTCAGCGTCTGCCCACTCCGCTGCCGATGGGGGACACACAGGCTCGGCCCTGCTCCCACCGCCC